GCCCCTCTAATATTTTCCATGTGTAAATTATTATGTACCTCTCCCGCCTGCGCTCAAGGGAGTACAGTTTTAGGCTCTTTAGTCGGTTTTAGTAGATGTTTTACTGAGTGGATTCTAGCAGTAAAGGATCTCTGCACGCTCTCCAGGTCAGCAATTTCTCCAGCTTTGAAAGGTGCTGTCATTGTGCAGCAGTACTCCACTCTAGAGAGCACAAGCATTTTGAAAAGTATCATCATCGGTATAGCATCTCTAGTGTGAAAAGTTCTTGTTATCCAACCTGTCATTTTTCTTGCAGTTGTGACGGCTACTTTATTGTGTTCTTTAAAGGTAAGGTCTTCCGACATGAGTACACCCAGATCCTTTACATTGCCTTTTCGTTCTATGTTATGATTTGCCTGAGTTTTGTACGTGGTTTACGTTTTTATATTTTCATTTTTTCCATAGCGCATGAGCTGCAACTTATCTTCGTTAAACACCATATTATTTTCTGTAGCCCATAGAAAGACCTGATCTACATCTGACTGGAGGTTCGTCGTGTCCTCTATGTTGCCTACTCTCATGAAGATCCTAGTGTCATCTGCAAAGGATGATACAGTGCTATAGGTTGTGTTCTTGTCTATGTCCGATATGAGGATGAGAAAAAGTACTGGAGCAAGCACAGTACCCTGGGGGACTGAGCTCTTCACGGTTGATGGGCTGGATTTTATTTTGTTGACTATTACACATTGGGTTCTGTTGGTCAGGAAATTGTAGATCCATCTGCCTATTTTTCCGGTAATTCCTTTTGAACGCATTTTATGTGCAATAACACCATGGTCACATTTATCAAAAGCTTTTGCGAAATCTGTGTAAATTACATCAGCGTTTTGTTTGTCTTCCATAGCATCTAATGCCATATCATAGTAGTCCAGCAACTGCGACAGGCAAGAGCGCCCTGTTCTGAACCCATGTTGTCCGGGGTTATGGAGTTGCTGTGATTCCATGTATTTTGTGATCTTACTTCTTAGCACTCTCTCAAAAATTTTTATGATGTGCGATGTTAGTGCTATCGGTCTGTAATTTTTTGCCTCTGCCTTATTTCCTCCTTTATGAAGTGGTGCTATCTCTGCTGTTTTTAGTATATCAGGAATAACGCCAGTATCTAGGCTTTGTCTCCACAGAATGTGGAGGGCCTGCGATAGTGTTTTTTTAGTTTTTTATGAATATGGAGTTCCAAGAATCCAGGCCTGGTGCAGAGTGCATAGGCATACTGTTTATGGCTTCTTCAAAATCCAGTGGGGATAGGGTGACGTCTGATATATGTTTTGATGTTGGTATCGTATCCATGAAAAATTCATTTGGGTTATCAATCTTTAGTGTGTTTAATGGCTCACTGAAATCAGAGTCGTACTGCGTCCTCAGTAGCTCGCTCATTTCTTTGTTGTCATCGGTGAAAGTTCCATCTCCCTTTCGCAGGGGCCCGATACTAGATGTGGTTTTTTATCTTGATTTTGCATAGGAGAAAAAATATTTCGGATTTCTTTCTATTTCACTGATGGCCTTTTGCTCTTTTTGCCTCTCCTGGGTTTTGTATGATTCTTGTAGCTTCCGTTCAATTGTTTCTATTTCTCTACCTAACCTTCTTCCCTGTTCTTGAGATAGGGTGCGACTCTCAAGTTGTTCCGCGATTCGTTTTCTTCGCCTATATAGGGAACGACGTTCCCGTTCCAATCTGCATCTCTTCCTCTTTTTTCTTAAGAGGTATGCGGTTTGAACATATTTCTAGTGCTACCGAGCTTATTTTTTCCAGGCACTGGTTCAGGTTTGCATTTTCTAGCTGTTCTTCCCAGTTTATTTCTGTGAAGTCCTGGTTTATTTGCTCCCAGTTTATCTGTTTATTATTGAAGTTGAATTTGCTGAAATCTCCTCCACTGGAAATCTGGACTGGTTTTGAAGGTCTACTCCCCATGGTTGTCATAACTTCAATTAAGTTGTGATCTGAGTAACAGGTATTTGTAATCATTATGTTTCTGATCAATTCATCATTATTAGTGAAAATGAGGTCCAGCGTGTTCTCCTTCCTAGTTGGTTCTACTATTTGCTGGTTTAAGGCAAACCTGTCGCACATCCGTAGCAGGTCATTTGCGTGTGCCTGTTCATTTAGGCTACTTCCTGGTATTCTTTCTGATATTACTGTATTAGCCAGGTGCTTCCATTTCAGGTGCCGTAGGTTGAAGTCCCCAAGCAGGATGATGTTCAGAGCTGGATTTGTGAGGTTTTCCAAGCAGTGTTCTATTTTCATTAGTTGGTCTTTAAACTGCTGAGGGTTTGCCTCCGGTGACTTATATACAAGGACAATAACTACATTTAAAATCTCTATTTTGATTATCAGCACTTCCACCATATCATTTGAGGTGTTTAGCAGCTCAGTACAGATGAGTGTGTCTTTGATGTAGAGGCTGACCCCACCCTGAAGCCGGTGTTTCCTATCACATCTGAAAAGATTGTACTCTGAGATCCACATTTCACCATCATGGTAGTCCTTTGTTAGGCTGCAAACACTGCATTTGCCTCATGAAGGAGACCATCTATAAAGTTAACTTTGTTGGATTTGCGTGTTTTTATACCCTGGATGTTGGCAAATATAAATGATGTTATCGTGTTAGTGGAAGTGCTGGAAGCCTTACTTGGTGTTAATATCTGAGGCTCTGGTAAGGAGGCCACTGTGTTTGCGTCCAGGGTGTGTCGTTTTGGAAGTGATTCGTCCAGTTTTGGTAGTAGGACGGGTGTTGTCTGGTGTAGTACCTGTGTGCTTGTTGATAATTTGAATTCCAGTCTTGTGGGTATCTCCGTTCCCCTCTGTAATCCTGTAGTGGTTCCATCTGACTGTTCCTCTCTCTTATATTTACTACTCTGTTTCTGCCTTCCTGTAAAAAATTTCCAGTAGTGTCATATTGATCTTCCCGTCTATAACGCTGTGTACCTCTCACATGGAATTCCGGACACTGAAGATTGTAGCATTTTTTGTCCCTAATTGAAAATTGACATAATTTAGGGTGGAAGTATCTACACCCTGTTCCAAAACGGCATGTACCCCTCTCCAACATGTTCCTGCATTTTTGAGGATGCAGAAAATGGCATTTTGCTCCTAATTTTCCATATTTGCATATTCCTTTAGCGTAGAATTTGCAAATATGTTCCGGTTTTGCGTTTTTCAAGGTATTTATATCTGTGACTGTCTTGTCTACCTCTTTATTGGAGCCATCTCCGTTTTTCGTCCCAATTCCTTCATCTATGCACTCTGTCTCACTGTTGCTCTCATCATTTATATTATCTGGCTCTGCAATATTGCTGTTATTTTGTACCACAATAGTCTCCTCCTCCACACTACTGCTGCGGTTCTCTAAACTATCTGTTCCTGAGTTTTGGTCGTTATCCAATGTTGACTTTTCCCAGTCCGCATATATCACTGGTAGCCTGTCTGTGAATGATAATCTCTGTGACTCGGGAATGCTTTTCATCAGTTTAGTTATGTTCTCTAACATTAATCTGTCATCTTTGCAAACCCAGTAAATTCCTTGCCTTTTTATGCATCCACCCCTAGTACTGGACCACCCCTAGATCTCTTTCTTTATCAGAATTCTTTAAAGATTTCTCACATAATATATAGGTTGTGTGGGGTCTATGTTCTCCTATTCCACATTCCATAACATGACATTTATTAACATTAAATTCCATTTGCCAAGTGGTGCTCCATATACTTATTTTGTCCAGGTCTTCTTGAAGGGCATGACAATCATCTATGTTTCTTATTTTCCCTATTATCTTAGCATCATTAGCAAACATATTCATATAATTCTGTATTCCATCTGGTAGATCGTTTATGTAGACAATGAACATTACCAGTGCAAGAACTGAAATCTGGTGTACAGATTTCCAAACATACTGTGCTGTTTCATAGCTACATTTGAAACTGTGCATGGAATCAGCCTCCACCACAACACTTCCTAATGCATTCCATTTACTAACTACTCTGACACTGAAAAAGTTCTTTCTAACGTCCCTGTGGCTCATTTGGGTACTAAGTTTCCACCTGTGTCCCCTTGTTCATGCCCCATGCTAAACAGTTTATCTTTATCTATCCTGTCAATTACTCTTCATAACAATGTAACAGAAAACTCCTCACCTCTGAAGGATTCGAACCCAGACAGTCAGGAGCTCTATGCACCATGTCTAGTACTTTCACCACTAGGCCACACTGACGTAAAAGAACTGGAAGTTGCCAGACCTTTAATCCAATTCCTAACAGCACTCCTGTTAAGGTTCTGAAGACTTCCTTAAGTTGTCAGACTTAACCCCTTAAGCTGTTAAGCTTAAGCTAAGGGTCTGATGACTTCCAATTCTTTTAACAGTCAGTGTGGCCTAGTGGTGAAAGTACTGGACACGCCAAGGTGCATGGAGCCCCTGGCTGTCTGGGTTCGAATCCAGAGGTGAGGAGTTTTCTGTTGCATATTGGCTTGGGGACCATTCAAGCTTGTTCACATTTTATTTCTGTGTGTGTATGTATATGTATGTATGTATATTATATATATATATATATATATATATATATATATATATATATATATATATATATATATATATATATATATATATATATATATATATATATATATATATATATATATATATATATATATATATATATATATATATATATATATATATATATATATATATATATATATATATATATATATATATATATATATATATATATATATATATATATATATATATATAAATATATATATATATATATATATATATATATATATATATATATATATACACAACCAGTGCTGGCTACTTTATAATACACTATTTACATTAGTAAAATCATAAAAACAATTATACAGTACATGTACAGTATATGAAATTCTAGAATACATAAAATTAAACAAAAAATACAGTACCTTCTCTTTCATTACTTCTCATACTTAACCAATGATGATAATTACCTTCAAAGAAGCATTAAAAGAAACATTGCTCTCAGGAGTAATCTCTCCATGTATGGCATAAGGTCCATAAGTAATCATAATGCCACTGGTTTTAAGCAGCTTTCCCGCAGAAGCAAACAAGCCTTCAGTGCACACCCAGGGTGTGATATGGACCATATTGATGTTCATAATCAAGTCCAGAGACTTCTCAGCAAAAGCTCCCGGCCATTCACTGATCGGCTGGAATTAAATACAAAGTTCAACATTACCAAGTTGCAAAAGACAGTCATACCACACAGCTTTAACCTGCCACCCATGTGTTTGTAAACTACTACATACACTACATTAATTCCTGTGGTCTGGGACAGGAAGCCTGTACAAAGGGTTGTACTGAGGTCTCATCCTCCACCCCAAGGACAAACCTAATGACCTTTCCTAGGATGCAACCCACAGTAGTTGCCTAACTCCCTGGTATTATTTACTACTAGGTAAACAGAGGCAATAGGTAAAAAGAAACATGCCCACTCATTTCTATTGCACCTGGGAATTGAACCCAGGACCCTTGACTGAGCTGAGAACAAAGACCACTATACTACTAGGTACACATGCTGTACCTTAATAGTTCTGAACAGATAGCAGTCCTTATACTATAATATATTGCTATAACTTGCTACAAAGTCAAAATTAATTCCTCAAAACTTATATCGCTATGAGAAATACCTAATAAATTCAATCAAAAAATAAATCTTTTAAAATAAATGTCAATGAAATATACTGTACACAGAAATCAAATTAGCCTGTTAATTATATGTAGAGTACAGGCATACATTAGTCATATTTGTATAAAATCTTTTAAGAAACCAAACTAATAATTAAATTATTAAAACTAAATCAATAGTACAACAGAATTGGACAGTGCTGTAATATACAGTACTCGGAAATCTTTTAAACATGTATTCACACATTTAAGCTACACACTAAAGTTGCAATGTAGCCTGCAATGTCATGCAATGAAGGCTTCAAGAAAATGTATCTTTCCTCATGCACATTACTACAATCATTTTATAGATTTTGTACAAAAATCATCAAGGGTACTTTACCTTTGTTACATCAATTGCTAATGGATTCTTTACATTTTCCAACTTTTCATCGGCAATATATTCCTTAATGCTTTCAATATACTTTTCATCCATATCAGACGGCTGCCATGTTATGTTCTTAAATTTGTTGGCAAAATAAACCACATGCTGACCACTTCCAGAGGCAACTTCCAATGCCGATAACGGAGGAGAGCCTGCGCCAAGCTTCTCTGGTATGACGTCTTCCAACACTTTTAAGATGGGCTCTTTATTCTTTTCTGCAGCCTCTACTACAACCTTTGACTGAGACATGGCCCTGGAAAAGTATTAGTTATTGCTATTAATTCCAGCTTTTAAATCTGAAAAACAGAAAAACATTCCTTCCCTTCCCAAGTCTTTATAATCAATGCCTGAAATGCTATGTATGTTAGGGGCTTTACATGAAGGTACCATTATACTCTTTTATATACTGTACATATACTGTATATAAAAATTAAGTCAAATGTATCTTTGTATAAAAAGATGTTTTGTTAATTTAACATAAAAAATTTCATTAAACTGTACACTGCCTTCAAAATGAGTAACATGCTGCAGAATGTTGTTGGCATACAAGTGATATGCTAAGCAGAACAGAATGTACATTAAACTCACAAAGGGTAACCACGATTACTTTACTATAGTAGTGGTTACCATTCTCATACAAAATTTATTCCTTATAAATGATGAAATCACAATAACATGATATAGCCATGAGAAAATCAAATTTTACATCATTATAATAAGAGAATTTTTAGAAAATGACCAGACACCAATTTGTCCATTTATAGCAAATGAGAGCAGTGATCAGCTGACCAACCACAGCCTTAACTTTTTTCTCCTTACATGAATCTTCAATACTGTACCATGTACTGCATTTGGTGAAAGCAAATACTGTACCAACTGATACCAAAATTTAATAAGATTGCTGCTTTATTATGGTAAAGAATCCATGCTAAAGTATGTAAAAACCATTATCATTCTATTTTCTACTTTCATTGAATTGGAAGATGGAGATGGTCAAAAGATTCTGGGAAAAACCATGCACCAATTCATCCACACTACATAGCATCACACAGCCTCTGCAAGGTCTCACTCCAGCAAACCATCTATGCACGTTTCACTGTTTTAATACAAATAGATGTAAAGTCCTTTTTGTGTCTTGACAAATGTCAAACATTCACTCGACTTATTTTGCCTAAACTTATTCCCCATCACTTCTTGTGCACTGTACACACACAGTCCAGATGGCTTCCTAAAACACTAACAAAAGCATGTTCCAGTAGTATGATAATTATCATTATCTAGTTGCAACATAGTAATGAAAGCTTTCAAATGAAGTGAGCATTTCTATTTAGTGCCATCCCTGGAGAAAAAAAAGAAAAAGAGGAGAAACAAGTAATATTGTTATCAAAATGGGCACAAAACTCAGTCTAATACAGTAGTAGTGTTTAATAAAACAAAAATGAAAATACAGTAGTGAAAAATAACAAACTCTTGGTGCAACAGAATTCAAATTGCAGCAGTAGGGCCCATGTGTTCTCAATATTGATATTGTCAACATTATAAAAGTACCTTGTGATTTTGTAGTTAATGATCTTGGTAGAAAGACGACTTAGGTTGAAGTTCTGGGCACTGCACAAAGATTGTGTGCCATTCCTTAATATAAATTGAGTGCATTTACAAATCTGGTTCAGCATCTCAGTTAGTCTGTGAGAGGGAATCTTGAGTGCTATTTCTCATGCTTGAATTGCTGTATAATTTGCTGAATATTAAACATATTTATCATATATTTAAAGGGGTAAAATAAAATTTTGCACCTAAATGGGTAAAAAGAATAGAGTACTTTACTAAGGGCCCTGAAGCCAGAAACTTGTTTATCTTGATAGATGTTTGAAACCCTTCCCAGGTCACCTTCAGGCCAAAACTGCTGAAAGGTCCAAATTGGTTAACAAATATTTAGTTTTTCCACTTCTCCCCCCCCCCTCCACCTCAGATGCTTAGTTCTAAATTAATATTGGAAACCACTTTGAAATACTGGTACTAGAGAAAATTTAGGTTTTATCTTAAAGGCTAATTATTCCACTACTGAAGCAGTAACCCTATCGTTAAATACCTAGAACGCTGCGGTGTTCTTCAAGGAAAAAAAATCTAATTTTCTGTTGTCTGGGATAAAAATGCTAGTGACTGAATTTAACCATCTGTGTTCCACTACACCTAACCAAACCTGTCCCAACCTGTCCCTACCATGGTCACTAGATACAGTGGCTACCAGGTAAATTACAGGTTTAGCACATCATTTTTGGAAATGGTAGCAAGCTACTCAGACAAAGGAATTCTGGTTGATGTAGTAAACGTGGATTTTGCTACAGCCTTTGATAAGGTACCACATGAAAGACTAGCTAGGAAATTACAGGCACATGGAATAAATGGTAAAATACTAGTATTTTGATTAAAACAAAGAAAAAAAGTCATGCTAAATGGGAATGAATCTGACTGGATAAATGTGGTAAATGGGTCACCACAGGGGTCCATTTTGGGGTCAACCCTTTTTGTCATATACATCAATGTCAGATGAGAATATTACAAACCACATCATCAAATTTGGAAATGACGCAGATTTATGGTAAAGTGGAAAATGATGATACTGAAACCTTAAAAAAAGACCTACATGAACTCTACAAATGGTCAGAGAACTGGCAAATGCATTTTAATATTGACAAATGCAAGACCGTGCATGTGGGGCTTTTAATAGCCCATGCCACAACTACCAAATTAATAACATTACATTACAGCAGACTGGCAAAGAAAAGGACTTTGGAGTCAAAATTCACACTCAATGAATTTTGCACAACAGGTAGAAGCAGCAGTCAGAAAAGCTAACCAAACCCTTGGAATAATCAAGTGTACTTTTGAATTTAAGGAAAAGAAGGTAGCGATTCAATTGTATAAATCTTTGGTGTGCCCCCACCTGGATTATTGCATCCAGGCATGGAGACCACATCTTCAGGACATAACTGCTCTCAAGAAAGTGCAACACCAGGCAACAAAAATCATTCCAGAGCTAAGCCAACTATCGTATCAGGAAAGATTGAGGGCCACAGGACTAACAACACTGCAAACCAAGAATGAGAGGGTAAGTTCATGAGAGGTAAAAGTTCATTGGAACTTTTAAAATACTAAAGAATTTGGAAGATATTGATCCGGAAAATTTCTTCAAAAGGTCGGATGTAACACAACCAAAGAGCAATGGTTTCATGCTCAACAAGTCACAATGTAGGACTGAGAAGAGGAGATGCTTCTTCACCCAAAGGGTTATATATAACCATGAAACCACCTACCCACCGAAGCCGTAAATGCCTAAAACTCTGTTAAATTTTAAGGTCAAACTGGAAAAGATCATCAGGACAAATGAGAGGACTTTTAACAAGCCACCAACTTCCTGTCCTTGTCAAGGCCACTAGTGTTAGTGGCCCTAAGTAAATCAGGTAAAAATAAATTAATAAAATCCTTTAAAAAAAAATCCTAATTTCTAAACCACTTTGGCTGGACAGTAGAGTGACTATCTTGAAATCTTGAGATTATCTTGAGATGATTTCGGGGCTTAGTGTCCCCGCGGCCGAGTCCTCAACCAGGCCTCCACCCCCAGGAAGCAGCCCTTGACAGCTGACTAACTCCCACGTACCTATTTACTGCTAGGTAACAGGGACATCAGGGTGAAAGAAACTCTGCCCATTGTTTCTCGCCAGCGCCTGGGATTGAACCCAGGACCACTGGATCACGCGTCCAGTGTCCTGTCCACTCAGCCACCAGCTCCCAGAAGTGACGGTCTCGCTTTATGCAGGTCAGCATTCAATCCCCGACCGTCCAAGCGGGCACCATTCCTTTCACCCCGTCACCCCAAATCCTTATCCTGATCCATTCCCAGTGCTATATAGTCCTTATGGCTTGGCACTCTCCTGATATCCCCCCCCCCACCTTTACATTGTCCACTCAATATAAGGTGTGGAAGAGTATATAGATCAAGAGTATTTGGATCAAGTCATTTTATTGCCATTCAAAGTTATTACACCAACTCTAATGCCTCAAGTGAGGCCAGGGCTCCCAAGACTTGTATACAGTATCATTGGCATGTGTGATTATTACAGACCAATACATAATGTGTATAACATTGATATGTGACAAGTTTAACTTGTTTTAACAGAAAACAAGAAACAATTCCGAAACATTTTACCTAACCATTGCTTACAGGCAACATAAAATAGGAAAGTGGATTCATTCCTTGAAAGTGCACGGTTTCTCTGCCAATACTAGTTACAAGAAGCTCAAAATACATGTCGCGGACGTTCAAACGTGAACAAAATTGAACCCCAACACCTCCAAAATCCTACGGTTTACATAACTATACTTCCCATAGGTCATGAGTCATAATACAGAGGTAATAACTGTGTTGAATGCAGCGTTAAGAAGCAGTCACCTGGCGACCAGCTGACAACACGTGTTAGTGTGTGTGTTGACATATGACGTCATCACATTCTTGCCAGACTTCACAATGTAAACAGAATAATAGGAAATTATTAAAATTAAAAATTAATTAACTAGGGTCTTCATTATAATTGTGCATTTTACGAATCAGACCGATATCACGTTTAGCGATAAATATAAACAGGGAGAAAATTAATTACAGTTCGCACGAGACAATCGCACTAGTTTCCTCTTTTAGAACACACAGATGGTGTTGGTGATGTGGCAACGATTACGAATTATTTTATTGCCTAGTTTTAGGAAAATTATGAATCATATATAAATGCACGAATACTTGTACGATGCTTTAATTTAGCTTATTTATTATGCACCCAATACCCATCTTGTGGGGCGGTAATTGATTGATTGATGAAGATTAAGCCACCCAAAAGGTGGCCCGGGCATGAATAGCCCGTAAGTGGTGACCCTTTTGAGCCATTACCAGTATCAATAGATGATGCTGGAAATCTGTGGAGGTGCGACTGCGCCCTGCGTGACGGGAGATGTCTCATGTGTGTGGGCGGTAGTGGAAAGGGTTACAGAAGCACATAATGGGCTCAGGGACTGAACCCCACAATTCATTTAGCTAAGCAAGTTACAATCTTGATGAGCTAGTTACAAAATTCAGTACAAGTCATCACACCATAAATGGGTTCGAGATCGACCACAAGTACAGTTTCTAAATTAAGCAACTGACATATGTTCAGAGCAAGTGTCACAATTAATATGTTTGTCCTGCATGTACGATGTCCACAGAACTCAATATTTCGAGCAAACCCTTAAAATAGTTAACATGCAATTGATGAGGCCTAGGTACTCCCTTTTGTGGTATTATGTTCTTATTATCCACCAAATGTGTTGTTACCCTGTTCTAAAATCCTTCATATAGCATAGGGTTTTTAGTTTAGTTCATTTATTATGCATCCCATACCCATCTTGTGGGCGGTGGTGGAAAGGATTATATGCTTCAGTAACCCTTTCCACCGTCGCCCACAAGATGGGTATGGGGTGCATAATAAATTAAACTAAAAACCCTATTCTATATGAAGGATTTTTATTAAAAAAAATACCTTCCGATGTCGAGTCAAATAGAGAATAGGAACTAATTTGTATAATTTATAAAGTAAATGCGTAAGTAATTTATAATTAAAATGCGTAATAATTAACGAGAGTATTAATCTATAAAGTAAATTATAAGTAAATGTGTAATAAATGAAGATTAAGATGACAGAAATTTGACATGTGGCAGAAATTGCTCTTCCATTCATGTATTGTGTTTGGCGTCTCGTCCAACCTGATCCCATTCTCAGAACTTTTGTATCTGATTAAATACTATTAAGTACATATTCTAATTATCAAGTTCAAGTTCAAGTATGTTTATTGAGATAAGAAAGAAATACATCTCAAAGGGATAGAGTAGCTTAGGCTATTTCTACCCCCATTCTAATTATCAAGGTAGGGCTTCCTAATGTATTCTGGAAGCCTCCTCTAGTCTTCCTGTATTCATCATTATACATCCGCGAATATCGACATGTACAGTTTGAATTCCTCTGTTAAATCACGTAGTGAATATTAAGCCGCCACAAGAGGTGGCACGCGCATGAGTAGCTCGTAAGTGGGAGATTTTTTTAAGTGACTGATCTTTGGTCGTGAAGATGTCTATTCTTGCCGCCTTGTGATATATATTCTCTTACCCAATAACAGCACCTCAGGTTATCCCACATTACGCAAGTTAATATAGAACCCTTTGAGCGGTACAGTATCTTAGACAAAATAGGAAACGTGATTAATGGCCCCCTTATCTTCTCTACCTCTGGAGCGTTCACAAAGCAGTTACGCAAGTACTTACGAACGTGTACATCTTTCCTCAATCTTTGACAGCTTTGGTTACATTTATTAAACAGTTTACAAGCATGAAAACTTCCCAGTCAACTGTTGTTATTGTTATAAACAGCTTCCTGGTACTTCGGAGCTCATTATCTGTTTAATAATTGTAAACAAAGCCGCCAAAGATTGACAAAAGATGTATAGGTTCGTAAGTGTTTGCGTAACTGCTTCGTGAATCTGACCCCTGGTTATTGTGCCTGCCAGAATTCCAGATTTGTCAGTTAAAGCTTTCTTTAACTAAAACCATGTTGGCACTTTATTAGTTTCCCTTCTTTCACAGTATTTATATAGGCTTTAGCTTGTTTTATCTATTTTTTTATTTTTTATTTTTTTATTTTTTTTCAGGGATATTCCTGCGTGGGCCCTAAGCCTCTGGCTGGCCCACTAAGTGTTGCTTGTTTCTGTTTTACTTGGGCGGAGTATGAGTATTTATGACTCGCATGGTCGCTTCAGTAAGATTTTGTCCCATGTGTTCAACAACTTCTTCTGCTCTGTTGAATCTAAGTTGAAATCTTATTGGGTTTGTAACTGTGCACTGTGTTAGATAATGTTCCTGTGGTCTGTCGGGCATATTTTTATCTATTCCAAGTCATGCATGTCAGATACACAGTGGGCTTCGTGTTGAATGCCTCTTGTAGCTTTTCTACAATATAGATACGATACTGTATTTGAACTTTATAACTTCTGTAACTTTCCCCTTTTAATATAAGCATTAAATATATATATATATATATATATATATATATATATATATATATATATATATATATATATATATATATATATATCGTGACTAGCTTTGGTGAAGTGACTGAAGGGGGAGGTGTTACATTAAGGGGGAGGTGTTACATGAAGGGGGAGGTGTTACATGAAGGAGGAGGTGTTACATGAAGGGGTGGTGTTACATGAAGTGGGAGGTGTTACATGAAGGGGGAGGTGTTACATGAAGGGGGAGGTGTTACATGAAGTGGGAGGTGTTACATGAAGTGGGAGGTGTTACATGAAGTGGGAGGTGTTACATGAAGGGGGAGGTGTTACATGAAGGGGGAGGTGTTACATGAAGAGGGAGGTGTTACATGAAGGGGGAGGTGTTACATGAAGGGGAGGTGTTACATGAAGTGGGAGGTGTTACATGAAGTGGGGAGTGTTACATGAAGGGGGAGGTGTTACATGAAGAGGGAGGTGTTACATGAAGAGGGAGGTGTTACATGAAGGGGGAGGTGTTACATGAAGGGGGAGGTGTTACATGAAGTGGGAGGTGTTACATGAAGGGGGAGGTGTTACATGAAGAGGGAGGTGTTACATGAAGGGGAGGTGTTACATGAAGAGGGAGGTGTTACATGAAGTGGGAGGTGTTACATGAAGAGGGAGGTGTTACATGAAGGGGGAGGTGTTACATGAAGGGGGAGGTGTTACATGAAGGGGAGGTGTTACATGAAGGGGGAGGTGTTACATGCAGTGAGCTGGGTGTGGCTATTAAGTAGACATTGCAAAATCAGAGCAAAAATGGGAACAATACCGAAATATACCAAACTTAAGGCAAAATGTTACTGCCATTAACTTTAGTTTTGTAAACTAGAGAACTGTAACGAGGTTTCTCCAGCGAGGGCAGTTAATTAAGTCAGTTCTAGACAGACATATGTTACTCTCCCGCGTGGTCTAACACCACACAAAACATATATAAAGCAATACATATTATATAAAGCTTTCTATACTACAAAAATACAGCTACATATTTTCTCTCTGACGTAGAAACCGCAGTTATTCGGGCCGCGTGAGTCATCGTTCACCCGGGTCAAACAAGCCTCTATCGACGTACCGACACTAATTACCACATTCTTCACCAAACTATACAACTCGGAGCACACTTAAACTTTACATCTCTCTATCATATGAGAACATCCCAGCCATTACAGGAGAAGAGACACGAGGTACTTACGAGGGTGCGGGAAGAGAGCCGTGCAGGGCGGTGGTGTCTACAGGTATCCAAGGGGTCGAAATCCGCACCAGCTGGATTCAACGGAACCACAGTTGCCAGATCTCCTTGGTTGCTTCATCCCTCCCCGGAGCCATAGTTGCCAAGTCGTTCTAATCCACAAATAATATCCACATAATCATACAAATATCTTATTTATATACAACTTTTACAAATGGGTTTGAAGTACAATACATGATAACATTTTGAGTAGTTTACCTATTACAGTATATGTGTTTAAATATATCCGCCGGTGTTTCAGTATTTATCCTGACGCTTCTTAATTTGTGGTTTTTCACAGGCTATATTACCAATGTAAATATTATACTATGACTTCTTTGTTTTTTTGCGTATTATAATAAGTACGTGAATATTAATTGTATTTTGTCGCATGTTACCAACACATAATTACAACACCTTTCCCCGCGGCTTTTAAAATATTAAGGAGCTTGGGTTGGTGCCACTGCATGATATCTATATTCATTGATATCTATACCTTCTGATATTTATGTCTACTAATATCTATATCTAGATATATATATAACCTCTGATATCTATATCTAGATATATATATAACCTCTGATATCTATATCTAGATATATATATAACCTCTGATATCTATATCTAGATATATATATAACCTCTGATATCTATATCCACTGATATCTATATGCACTAATATCTATATTCACTTAGATATATATATATATATCCACTGATATCTATGCCCACTAATATCTATACCATATTCGCAAGAATAATCAGTCTTTAAGATTACCATGCAATCATTCCACTACAAAAACAAAAGAATGAAGAAAACTCCCCAAGGCCTATTGCTCCCTGGGAATCAGCAGCTCTTACGTGCTATAGTGCTCCTGGAGTTCAATTAATTTGTTTTCTTTATTATGCACCCCATACCCATCCCGTGGGCGGTAGTGTAAAGGATTACAGAGGCACATAATCGGTTCAAGAACGGAACCCTCTAGTTCGTTTAGCTAAGCAAATGACAATCTTTTGACGCTAGTTACAAAACTATTAATGTTATAGATACTGTACATGTACACGTACTCATGCATACTGAATGGTCCTGGGGACCATTCAGGCTTGTTCGCATACATGTACATATACATACGTATACATATATACATACACATACATA